CTTCGAAAGGATGTCGCTTGCTTAGCGAAGGTATAAAGATTGAGAGTTCAGAAATCTAAGCAAACTTGTCAGTCTGCAATACTTCACCTCTGATAATTCGTATCTCAAAACGAAATCTACTTGCCAGTTGTTTCATTGAAAACAGGCATTCCGTATATATTGCACCACAGCAGAATGATGGAAAGCCAGCGTAAAATGTCTTATGTTGTCCGACTGGCTTGTTTAAGCTTGCTCTCATTGGAACGATGCAGACTAAGAGACCTGATGGAAAGTAAGATTGTGAAGAGTCTCAGTGGCATTAAACCTACTGATCTCTCTGAACTAGCTATGTCGAACCACCCGTTCGGACACCATCTGAAGCTCATGAAGCAGAGGTTCAGACTGAATATTCGAAGGAACATTTTCACCAACCGCGTAGTACGTAGCTGGAATTTACTACCCCCTGCACCAGTAGAGTGTACTACGATAGAAGCGTATAAAAGTGGTCTGGATATGAATTGGTTCATTCTCTTTCCGAAATCGCATTGAGATTAGTGAGTACTAGTTAGTATCAAACAGCCCATGGTCGGTAGGACATCATAAACGATTTCAAGAAATAATGATAGGTTGCCCTTACACTTTTTTGTCTCTGTAGAAGTGAAGAAGTATGGGTGTCGAAGTACCAGTGGTCCTTGCTTGCTTACCGGCACACGAAACGGGACGCTCGTTAGGCGAAAGCTTGTTTCGACCCTGGAGACTAACCTGACCTGGCCTCAGCTTCAGGACATATGTTTCAGTATTTGGGACGTAAATATGATGTCAAAAGCACACGAGAGCTCATCATATTTCACACATTTATTAGTTTTGGCAGTTAGTCCTGTTATTGCCTCGGAAACATTATGTGTTGCCATCTTACTAACAGTTGTTATCTGGAACTCTACTGGGGTCCACGATATATCATCTTTGGATACGGGAACTTCACCGGAAATTGCAGCAACAGCTGACACACTTTCACGGTTTTCTTCGTCACCACTGTCCTCATAGAAAGTCTCAACTTCGATTATCAGAGATCTGCGGACTCCTGAATAGTGAAATTATCATTAACAGCATATTCATCCTCGTCTTCTGACTCGTTATAATCGACATTTGTAAATTCTCGTAAAATCTCAAAAGCTGTTCTCTTACGAGCATTGTGAATAGGAAAACATAAAACGAATTAAAGAAATGCGGTCATTGTGACCGCTTACAAGCTTCCTAGGTAGTACAAACAATTATTCTCTCTAAAACCGTAACAGATATCGGGGGGAAACTTCACGGTTTTAAAGTACGAATATAAATATTGTCATATCTTTGAAAAATATCTACAAATGTAGAAGCTATTTAGATGTAACAACGCTGAGCGGTCAAAAACACCGCTTCTGACGATCTAGTATTAAGACACGCTCATTACGGCGGTGTCATTAGGTATTCATGTAGCTACGTAAAGACGGTGAGCAAAATGAACAGCGCAGGAAAAGTAGCAATGATATTTTGATCAAACATGCTCCGTTTGCACACATCGATGTGAATAAGACGAGAATAGCATTGGTCCTGAGGACACCGGTTATCAATATGCACCATATGTGGAATTTCGCCGCCGTCATTTCTTTCCACTGCTGGTGCCGGATCCTCCCTGAAAACCACCATCCCTCATCCACATATCATCAAACACGGACATATTGCCGCAGTTAGAAATAGCATTCAAGTAGGCTGTTTATGAATCAAAGTATTGTCTGGGAGTTGACGTCTGCTGTATTAACAGTGGCGATTAAATGTTTAAACCGTGCACCGACTATATTCCGTATGTCTCGTGCAGCGTTCTCGCGCAAACGCTTCGTGTAGGACACTTGACTACAGCTGAACAAAATACCATCCCAGATCTAGGTTGACCGCGCTGCCATTAGTGAGAAATCTCAAACTTCACTTAAGTATTATCAGTTCGTTGCACCAGCTTACTCGATGAGAATGTGGGAAGGGGTTTGCAGTCACTCACCTTAAGGTATCCAGTGGCTTCACGTGAGGTGCTTTCCCCAAATGTAAGGTGAAAATTGCATGTTTTTTCGTGGTAGCGGAAAACCGCACCCACGACGGAACAGGTCATGGTTACATACATACGGATGTTACAGCCTGCCACCATTGGATGAGCACGGAGATTAAGTAACACTTCCAAGATTCCGGATGTGGCAATGGGGATGTTTGAGATAAGTTGAAAACCTGAACTTCACCAACCATTACCACCGTTAGTCAAGCCACAGATTCTTTCTTGAGAAACACTTATGCTATTATGCATTCCATGCTCATTTTTCGAGGTGTAGGGGCTAACCACACTGCACTACCTCTCGTTGTTGCTCACATCTAGCAGGAACACTAGGTGAACAGTGACCAAATTTTCCACAGTGTTCACAACATCATACTTCTCTGTGGAGCGCTGGGGACTGGTTCCGCTCAATAGGCTGCGATGTTTAAGACGCTCGTTACACACACTAAAACAGTGGGTCCCACACCAGGCGCTACTTGCACAAGTAGGCACCGAGTAGTAAAGCTGGGTAATTTACGATTCAGGATAAGCAGAGGGATACAGTGGAAACCATCCCTCCCGTTTGATCCCCAAATGGCTTGAGATAATTTTCAAGTGAGTCTAAACTTACAAAGGCCCGTAAGGCAAGATTGTCTTTTTGCCACCAACCCGTTTGACACGACGACGGCATAAGACCTATCCAAATCTTATTTTTACACTCCGTTTTATGCTCCGTTATCTGTTCCCGTCTCCCCGTCGGCACTCTTTTGTGACACCGTTGTTTAGGGAATCTTGCATCGGATTAGTGAATACTTCTGTCCCCTTGTGCACTACTTCCGGGTGTACTCATTTCAGCCATTTTTGAAATGGAAAATTTACCATACCTCATAGGACATGCTCGTCGCGATGTCGCTTCCCCCGATCTGAGATACCATACAAGCACAAACGAAGAAACCTAGTAATATATCTAATCGTGTGTACACAATTGCGATCCACGCATCGGTAAGACTGTTGGCCACATCTGTCCTGGACACGGTTGGTCACTGCAGACGGATTCGTTCAGACAAAGTGCGCTTATACATTCATCTCGAAGAATATGGTGTATCCTGGGTCTTCAGCAGTTTCTTCGAGCTATCTGTTGATAGACACACCTGAGCAAATCCGGATAAACAAGACCCACGCAGTGTGACAAAAAATAAAGATAGCTGTCTCCGATTCGTGAACCATGACTGTATAAGCCCGACGAAATTTGCGGAAATTTTGTGGTTCTTATGGGCGTAATCCATAAATAACTTTCGGGTAGTCGATCGGATCCACAGACAGATTGTTCATTTTATGCCCTTAAACGTTTGCGTTCTTGATTACAGTCGCATGGCGAAAAACCGAACTTTCAAGTACTATACAGCAAACGACTTGTCTACGCTCGTCAATCAGCTCGAGTCCTACCTGGGTGCCCCACAAACAGCCTCCGCAGCCACGCGAGATATGGCAGGTACAAAACCGGGGCTACACTTGATCATGCTCCTGGCACAAGACAAGGAAGCGACGCCGCTGCGATTTTATTTACCTTCCAATCCGCATGGCGAGGCTGTTCTCACCGATGTTGCTGTGGTGCCTCAGTGGGGTGGGCTTTTTTCCATCGACGCAAACGTGGAACAGCCTGCTGTTCGAGTGGGACGGCAATTGGCTGCTGTTATACGCTTGATAGCCGGACTACCGGAGCCACCAGCCCATATCCAAACTCATCTTAGCCCAAAACGTGGCCCAGGCGATGCATGGGGTGCTGTGAATCGTTGGGAGGTAGGTTGTCCATTTATTTTCTTGCATATTTCGGAAAATTTCGTTTAACTCTCACTGGCATTCGTCACCAACTTGTTGCTTACCGAGCAACAACGTTGTATTTCGTGTTTTCATGAGGGAACATTTTTCCCCAATTGCACCATCCTTCTTATTCCAGATGGACAGCTGGTTTTTGCGCCGCACCGCAGAAAGCCTGCTCTCTATCCGTATGACAATGACAGCATTGGTTGACTTATTGTCACGATTTCCGAACATGGTTATCAACGACTACGTGGCAGATGAGGTTGCCCGCTCCGTCCGAATGTGGGGTCAAACGTTGGGTCAGCTGCGTACCGTTGGTGACCAGTTAAATGTCACTGACTTTGGGCAATTGTTCACCCAAGCAGAAGAAGCCCTTGGAGCAATCAACAGTGCATTCTTTGATTACACTCTGCTCGGACGACTGTACTTTGAGGTTAGTTTTTTACTACCCACGCGTCTAGTGTGCACCACTGCGATGACATTCGTCTCCGATGTGCTTCTTTCGGCACTGAATAAAGTTGCGCGCTGAGTCAGCCGTTTATTCATCATCAAATATCCATACTATTGCGATTCGCCTTTTTCTATATCCTGAGTCGCTTCCATTCGGATCGATAGCAGCCAGTTGATGGAGCACAAGTCAAGTGCTTATGCACCCAAGGACGAATAAATATTTAGTTGCAACGTATGTTTCCTCACTCCCACCCGGCCTCAAATACTCGGTTCGGATGACAAAACCTATGGGTTGAAGCGCCGTATGAGTTCGGGTGTCACGATATTTTTCAGCATATGCTGCGTTGATAATGTGCAATACTGAATACGTCGTTCTGCTCAGATCGATGAACGCAGTTCCCGGTAGTGCATGGTATTGTGGAAACTAGAACTGGAGTAACACATTACTTTCGCGTACACTGTGGAGTTATTCCCCATTGTGCTCTCTTTCTGCCCGCACCCACACGAAGAGTTACTATGCTGACATCTGAAATTGAATAATCTGACATCATTGGGTTCAACGTTAGTGCGTTTCTGTCTCTCAGATTAGACCTGCGCGCACTTGTTTTTAACTGCCACAGTTTTCCATAACTATTGCCCAAATTCCTCGTCATATTGTCATTAGTTATATCATGCTCTCTTTTGTCACTGTTAGGAGGACCAGAAGTACGGTATCTACGTCCCACTGTTTGTCCCCATCGGCGTCAGTCTTCTCGTGTCCGTCAAGAACGTGTTCCGCGCAATCTTCCTCGGGAGCCTGCTCGCTAATGAATGTAAATCCTTGATCCCGGCTGTGATGAACTTGTCAAACTTTCTCTTACGAAACTTGAAACTCGCATGTTATGTAATATTTGTCATCTTATGCGTCCACCAGTTACCGTGATGTCATTGGACTCAGTTTTCGTTTGACTTGGTGACTACATTATGACTGAAACCTGAATAAATGTTTTCTTCCTAACCGAGTGCGTTTTTACCGTCTTTTCGGTGTCACGGTCCCTCAATGATTCTACACATTAGCCTAAGGTGAGTAACATCCCAGCTATTGTGCCATCGCGGCGCCTAGAAAATGTGTGTGGAATCATTCACACCGCCCGTTTTCGTTCGTTAGATTCCGTTTCCCATAGGGAAAGAGAACAGACGATGAAGCGGCGCAATGCATTTAAATGCGATGCGGACGGAGGTAAGCCTACAGTGGAAGTGTGCTCCACAAAACTTCATTTGGCGTACAACCGTAACCCTGTTTGTGAGAAAATGGTCCAATCAACACTAGTCGAGGCCCTCAGGTAAACTCTGCATTTTGAGTGCCATCTAAATCTGCGTGATCCACCCGCGACGAGATGAAACAGCATACCCAAGCGATGTTTTCGCCTCGGTCAGGGACTAAGACGCATGAGACTGGGTAAACTGAATTGCCGCTATAAAGATGTAACACCTATGACACGAATCACGAGACACTCGTGTTTCGCTCTCCCCCAGTCACTAACCGGAATCTACTCCGACACCAGTGAAGAACACGTATCATGGGTGGTGGATTTATGTGCAAAATGAAACGGGATCACAATATCAAGAACATATGATGTTTTCAACAGTTTCTTTGTTCTCACGGAACGTCTCGTCGGCGAACAGGATCGAAACCACTTGCTTGTGTTGCACGTGTTGCGGGGTACCACCAAATAAGGACCGTCGGGATTTTATAATCTGTCTGGTGATGGACATCAACTGATGATCCGGAGTTTCCACACCAGATGGTTTGGATTTAGTCTTCGGTTTCGCTTTCCTATCTGAAAGATAAAGAAAAGTTATTCAAAAAGCGAGCACGTGCGAAGTTGTCTGCAACCCATCGTGTGACTCGCCCACATCGAGAGCATCAGTTTTCTCACCACTGTTATTTTGGTGAAGCGAGTCGTGTTAATTGGATCCACTACACTTCAATACCCGGATCATAGTTGTTTACGTCAACTGAATATTTGTTCACCGGTCAAAGTAGGGTACGCAACGCTGAGGTGCGGCCAGTAACACCATATAGGAACATGTGCCTGCGTAGAACCGCTCGGGTCTGCCGGGACCACCGAGTGAGCAGTGCCGAATTCCGCTTGCTGAGTTTCAACAGAAAAACCCGGCGTTATTCGTGGAATTCCTCTGTAATTGAATTCGAATTCTGATCGACGTTTCGTTTTGGCGTGCGCTATTTCCCGACATTGCATCTGGATTGTTGAGGCCACAAAGTGATCCATAGCGTAGATACACTGTATCTTTATTAATGGGTACCTCTGGACACGCCACGTTGGTGGCTTGAGGCCCTGTCCTGTGTGATTATGTCGTGAAGTCTATGGCTCTGCTGCAGTCATTCTATTGTTTCTAACCCTTCTATACACTGACTGTCTCCTCAATGATTTGCACCTTTTCCAACAAATCATGAATCATGCAACTGGAGCGATCGCACGCCAGTGCTCCGGATGATAGTTGGGTGTCCGCTAAAACACAGTACGTTTAACACGAATAAACTGTCACTCTTCCTGGTCGCAGTGGGAATGACATTTCCGGAAAAGAATATGCAGATAAGAGGCGAATGTAGGCACTGCAATAGCCATGGTTAACCCATGTCACCTCGCTTAGGCGCAGCAACTCTGAAAGCCTCGCAGTGGAGCATGCAGTGGCAGTTCCGAAATAAAAATCAGGCTCAGGCGTGAGGCCGGGATACTGCTCATAAAGTACAGAGTGATCGGCTCTCACTAAAAATTTTTGGACAATGGTGGGCCAAGTTTACAGAGGGCCCACCCCACTTTACCAAATGGGGAAGTGTGCTCCAGTGTAGAGAATACCACTCATAAGAGTCCAGTGGGGAGGGAGCGACGCAACTAACGAACAAGCTGTAACCTGTCCTAGTTAGGAATGTGAGTAACAATACCATAATACCGACATGAGGATAACTAGCAAAAACCACTAACATAGGCTATCCACAACGCCAGACTACCTTTTGGTCGCCACAACCTTCCAGCTCTGACTTTGACTGTGCAGTGCTTTGATAGTGCTCGTTTCGCAGGCGTCTTCAAACTGAACCAACGCGACGAGTCTTAAAATGTGACTTGGTGTGTCTGATTCGGCGTTACCAAAGAAGCGCGTAGCACAACACACTTTGATTTTTTTTTCGAGAGGATCGACTCCTCATAAGTAGCCGCCGGACACTGACGTAATAACGTGAGATTATGCCTTTTCTACACTTTGTCATTTCCATTAAGCTACAAAATTGAGAACTTTTGGTGAGTAACATGATTGCGCTATTGTTTTAATGTCGATAGAAGGGCTAACATTTCTAAACAAATTAATTAACCCAATGAACGCGACCCAGGGGTAATAAGTCTGGAAGCGCAAACAGAGTTATCAATACATAAAGAAGTTTTAGGCAGAAAGCAGTCGTTTGGGCAAAAAGTCGCTGACCCCACGGTAGGATTCGACTTCGAAGGCTCCCAGTCCTATAAGTAAACCGATGGACAGCTAGCGCGACTGTACAATACCTCCTAACCATTTGAGAAAGTTCACCGCATAGAGGCAAGCAATAAACGAAGATGCAAGCAGCAGACCGAAGACAACACAAAACAATTCCAAAGAAGTATATATTGTTGCGAGTCAATTAAAACAAACGGTACATATTTACGAAGAAGAAAGGTCCAAACGCCTACACGCCGGCGTGTACCTCACCCCTAGTATGAGAAAAAAACAATCGTAACCCAAGTAGAAATAGCAGGATCAGCAAAACATTTCGACCGTCGGAATTGAAAGGAAAAAAGGACGGGTAGGCCTGGACCCGCCGACATACCGTAGAAAACCCCAGTAAGGGCTCAGTTCGGCCTATTAACTTTTTCCGCAGTACACATACCATTGGGATACCACAGTTGGTCGTGGCGTGGAGGGACCGGTGCTCAGGCATTGTGGCGTGCGAAGCTCGAAGATGGATTCCATGCACTCAGGGATCCGGGCCAACTCACACGTTACACAATTTGTATGTGACTCGGAAAAAGTTACATAGGCAGAACCAATAAACGCTGATTCCCAATATAGGATCATGTGCCAAGATGGGTCAATGAGGAAGTTGCGCAATGGCCTACATGCGTCAGATTGCCATGTCGTTGCTGTCCCACCGGCTTCCTCGAAACGCAATACACCTATGAAACTCGGTCAACAACTAGAGGTGGGCCCTTCAGCATTGAAAGTTGTGTTACATCACACTAAGCCCCGCTCCTTTCGGTTTGCTGAGGCGTCGCAATGACCATTAACCGCGTTTGGTCTCAAAACATTGATCTGTCAGCTAAAGCTGCCTTGGACGTAGGTGTAAACGTCCCGGCCGTCATTCGTTTTTCACCTCATGCATGTCCTGGTTGACAGCCAATGTTAGCTAGATCAGCTTAATCGGTTAGTTGGTTAATGGCACTGAGAGCGCCCACAATACCGAAATGCATGCATCTACCAGCCTTCACTTTCTTTTCGAGCTTTCAAGAGGATTGAAATTTGATCCACTTAAGAAGACCAAGTTGATGTGTAAGTTGGTTTAGCAGCCCAACTGCGGTGAAGAATCAATGGGCCGGAGGCTGATGTGGCTAGACCCTGACACATGGTCTACCCAACTCGCTACGTGGTGCCATTGGCTCAGTTACTGGGCCGCCTCCTGTGCGACCCGCTGGGTGGGAGTTGGTTTTCGCCCTTCTCTCGGCTACGAGGAAGCCAAAATAGCCAGGACACCTATCCCTGGATCAGTGCTAGATCCTCTGCCTTGCGTTTCATTGAATCGAAGGGGCTTTGCGAGGACCCAGTCGGTCGCTTCCAGGTGTAGCGCCCTGCCACTATCGCTAGTCCAATCCTCTTCGGAGTAGAAGTGGCAATGGCCCTCTTCCCGTAAAACCTAGCCTGTGGAGACAAACAGGTCGACCGGTTATAAGCTCCCAGTCCGAGTCGGCGGCGTAGAGCTCGAGCGCCACGACATTGTCTCTGAACGGGCATGGAAGGGCCCCTCCGGGTGTTCATTGGGTTTTTGCTTACTAGCCCGCCCTCAACGCAGGAGCCCAGCCCTCCTGTCCAAATTGGTGCAACCCCACCAAACCCCCCTGCGTGCCTGGCCGTGTTGGTCCGCAGCCGCCGGTGCATAGCGGCACCGACGGTCGCCAAACACATATGAATCGGTCCAGTACCTCCCAAGGCTGCCTGCTGCCGGTCGCTCAAGGCAGATCCCACCGTCTCTTGCAATCACATTCCCGAGCTGGATCGCTCCCCACTGCTCTGGGTCTGGCTATTGAGCCACAAGGCTCGGGGGGTCCTCAAGCAAACTCCAAATCACCCACTGCCTTGTGGGTTCAGCCTATGAGCCAAAGGCTCCGGTGGAGTCCTCAAGCAAACCTCCGTAAGCACAACCGACCACCTCGAGTGCGATTGCCCACCAATGCAATCGTATGCCTGCGCGCAAAGCAATCAGCATTGGGTGCTGGAACGTGCGCACACTACTGGACCGGAACTCAGCGAGCGCTCCGAGCGACGCACTGCACTGGTCGCGATGGAACTGGCGCGCTACCACATCGATATTGCGGCGCTCAGTGAAACTCGGCTCGCTGAGCAAGGTAAGTTGCGTGAAGCAGGTGCTGGCTACACATTCTACTGGGTGGGCAACGCCGCCTCAGCACCACGTGATCATGGGGTCGGATTTGCAATATCCGATCGCCTAAATGGCCAGCTGGTGGTGAACCAACAGGCATCAGCGCGCGACTGATGACTGTTCGCCTGCGACTCGGAAGAGGTAAGTTTGCCACTTTTATAAGCACGTACGGTCCGACCATGTGTTATCCTGATGACACGCGTGATCAGTTCTACACTGAGCTATCCTCCAGTGATACGGTCTGTGCCGAGAGCGACCAACTATTTCTGCTGGTGTGATTTCTAACGTGCCATTGGTATGCGATGCAGCGGTGCG